GATTTGAAGCTCTGTGTGTGTGTGTGTATGTGTATGTATGCACACTAATATACACGCATGCGCACCCTCGTGTACATTAAGTGAGAAAGAAGGGGTCGAAACCACTAACAAAGTTGGAATTGAGTGGAATCTGGAAAGGTTTCTATTAGAAAATATATACCTCTTCTCTCCCAGCGTTGGTCCTTGAAACAAACAGTAATTATTCCATTGAAGTTCAGCTGTTAATTTGGAGAAAATATTAGAACCGTTATCTTTACTGTATCTTCAGTTTGGTCTCCGATGACTCTTTAATTGCCTTTCATTTTATATGTTCTTATGACCTGGACTCTTACATCTCACTATCGCTATGTAGTTCTTCACTTTATACTTAAGCCAATTAAAAAGACCCCTATTCTTGCTGTTTTCTTTTTCTTGCTGTTTTCTTTTGCTCAGCACAATAAGATCACCACTGACTTCCTACTTTAATAAGGTATTTCTCAAGCCTCTTCTTAATTTTGTGAGAGTTGATGGTAGTTATTTCTCCTTCTTAAAATTCTCCACAAGTTACACAAGTTCCTCTTGGTTTGCCTTCTACATTTCTGCGTTTTGTTTTATTGGCTCCTCTGCCTTTCTTGTAAATGTTTCAGTCCACCTCTTTTCTTACTCTGTGCACTCATTTGGAGTGGTCTTATTCAGGTTTTTTCCATATGTTGCTTGATGACTCCCAAATCTAGACTAGACCTGTATCTCTGTCTACGTAATTCTTGGGGCCTCATAACATTTTAGATACTAAAATAACTGATTGATTGAATGAGGTATCTATAGGTAACTCCAACATGTCCAGAAGTGAATTCATCATCTTTCACCCTTCCTTCAAACTTGATCCGCATCTTACTGCCTGGCTTAGTCTACCAGTGATCACATCAGTGTAGCATTATCTTCACTGCTGCACTGCCATACAAACCTGAGGTTTTACTGCATTTCTCTTTCCCCTCTACTTCTCGTATTCCTTAGTAAAATGAGATGCATGTGTCCAAGGGTTATCAAAGAATTAGAAACCAAAAGGGAAAAAATGGCTAAGAACTTAAGACATCATCTACAAAATTTTATATATTGGTGTATAGTTCATCCCTATACTTTTATGTAAAGAAGCATCTAGATTGTGAGATGATTGCGGACCATTTGGCATAAACAGGAGGTAGACTTGGGAAAGGAAAATGAAACATTTGCCAGATAAGCTATCATGACTTAGTTTTGTTTCTAGCCTGAAAATCATTCTTTTAATGTAGTGACAGTTTTGTTTTATAGCAAACCTTGAGATTTCATGTATTAAATCTATTAAAATGTACATGGTTTTCCTAAGAAAATGCGAAGCACATCTATTTTTTTATTTTTTATTTATTTATTTATTTTTGTCTTTTGTCTTTTGTCTTTTGTCTTTTTTCCTGACCGGTAACGGGATCGCAACCCTCGGTGTCGCGCCCCGTACCACGACCGGGAACGGGATCACAACCCTTGGTGTTGCGCCCGCACCACGCTCAGCCAGTGAGCGGGGACCGTTCCCCACATGGGACCCGAACCCTCGGCGGGAGCGCCGCTGCACTCCCAAGCAGCGCACTCTCCA